CAGACTGTGGGGGCGATATGCTGACTCTCTAAACCGCTTAGAGAGGGCTGAAAGCCCTATGAAGCGGTATATAAGTCTAACTGCTATTGCTATAAAACCATTAAACCACAGTTGTGTGTGTGTGTGTGTGTGTATGAGAGGGAGGGACGTGGTGGCTCAGTGGCTACGACACTGAGCTTGTCAATCAGAAAGGTTGGCAGTTTGGCAGTTCAAATCCCTAGCGCCACATAACAGAGTGAGCTCCTGTTACTTGTCCCAGCTTCTGCCAACCTAGCAGTTTGAAAGCATGTAAAAATGCAAGTAGAAAAATAAAAATAGGAACCACCTTTAGTGGGAAGGTAACAGCGTTCTGTGAGCCTTTGACATTTAGTCATGTCAGCCACGTGACCACGAAGACGTCTTCAGATAGCACTGGCTTTTCAGCTTTGAAACGGAGATGATCACCACCCCCTAAAGTTGGGAACAACTAGCACATATGTGCGAGGGAAACCTTTTTACCTTATGAGGGATGGGGTGGAAATAGCACGTGTGGCAATAAGAGTGGTAAAGCGTATTTATTTCTTCATCCTTATTGCGTCTGTAAGTCTGACTGGCAGCCCTGTTTAAAGGAACTAGGTCCCTCTGAATAAGGAACCACAGGGGTTGCTGTGATGAATATTCTCAACATCTGTTAAATGGGCATCACTCGACTTTGCTTGGACTTGGATTCTAGTAGGGCAGAGACTTTGGAGGTGATAGACACAACTGTATCTTGTTACCTGGGAAGAATTTGAAGTGAGGGTCCTTGGGGTTATGAGCCTGGCCACTGGTGTTCTGGGATCCATTTTCCATGTTGTTAGGTCCAACTGATGATTTATGCTTCTGTGCTGGAGGGAGTGCTACTATCTGTCCTGAAGGAGGCATGGGTGCACAATCTTCTCAAGAGGTCAACGTTGGGCCCCCACAATATTGGACTTTCATACTGCAACAGTGACAGAACGGATTATTTCTGCCAAAGCATCTTTATCTACTGAGAGCTGTAACTGATATAGATGTCCAAGTCTTCCTTGGGCATGGATTCTCTTTGCTGCTTAAGAAGGAATCCATTATCAACATGATCTATTCAGCAGTTAAGGATACCTGAAACTGGATAAAGGTATATAAAGCTTGTAACAGTGGTTCCCAAACGTGGCCACTTTAAGACTTGTGGACTTCAACTCCCAGAATTCTCCAGCCAGCTGGCTGGAGAATTCTGGGAGTTGAAGTCCNAAGCCTAGTTAGCCTATAGGAAAATCCGGCCCTGATGATAGGAATGTAATTCAAAAGAATATGTTCATTTGAAAATATTAAATCTTATCTCAAGATTGAATCAGCACTTTGCCACACCCACAGTTAGATAACAGGAGGCAGAGAGTTTCAGGTATGCATTTTTGATATTGTTTATAAATTGTCAACTGTTTAGTTAATCATTAATCATTACAGGCAGGAGAGGGTGAGGCACAGTTGCTTAAGTGAGAATTCTTGGTACCCTCGATTAATTATAATTCCTAGGTTTCAGTGAATTAGATGACATAGATTTAATGATAATAATTGATATAAATTTGCAATTTAAGTCTGCTATGATTTAAACACACTAACACAAAAATAATATTTGCCATTGTATAATTTAAGATATATGCTGTGTATGTAATTTGTATATGATACAATTATACTCCCCACCCCAAAGTAGATATGAAAACTTATTACAAAGAAAAACATGAAGGCACACACATTTATTTAATAAAACAGGTAGCCCCTAAAACTGATAAGCTTTACAATTATCTATCCCATAATAAATCTGCTAGCTTTTAATGTATCACAAATTCTTTCTAACTTTTGTTACTAGCTCTGATTTAAATGGAATGGCTTCCATGCCATCCCATCAGCACAGTTCAGCTCGAGGCTGATTCTCCCCAGGTGGGACCAGTCAACTGCAGCGGGCCATGCTGCCAGCCCACTGCTGCTTCCCATGATCGGGTTGAGTCCAGGACAGTACTGGAGTCCTCCGTAGCGCAGGAGGCAGTTACTACTGGTTTGGCAAATACTGCCTAGCTGGGCTTACAACCCGAGCAAGGTTTGGTCAAGTGCCACCTCCACCATGGCTGACTACACCTCCATGGTTCAGGGCTGCTTTTGATGGGAGGACAAGTTGGCCTTCTACCTAAATTGGGTGTAGGTGCACATTGACCATTATCAGGATGTCTATGCCAATGACCAAGAAATCACCCAAGCCATCACAGAGTACCTATGCAGGGAAGCAGCAGAATGGGTAACTCAGTTGCACAACAAAGATGTGCCAGAATTAGGGAATGTCAATTATTATCTCCGGGAATTGAATAATAGGTTCAAAAATGAAGCCCAAGCCCAAGAAGTGGAGGCAGAAATTAAGGCCATCAAGCAAAGGGGGTGCCCAGCCAAAGAATATGTTAGAAAATTTTGCAGAATTGCCAGAAAACTGTGACATTGGCCTGAATGCTTTCTAGCCCACTTTTTAAAATGAGGGCTTAGACAAAGAACTATGCCACACTTGCATCTGATAGGGAATCCCAGACTGCATCCATGGTACCAAATGGCCATAACCATTGAGTTCCACCAGTACCAAAATGAAGCTCCAGAGAAAAAAGCCCAAGAGACAATTGGGCCGGTGAACTTCACCCGCTAAGCTGTTTAGTTCTCTCCTCCCTCTGAAGGGGAAGATGGAACTCTGGCTAAAGGAAGCCCAGTGCTGGTAACCAGGGACAGCAATGAGGACAGCAAGGATGTCCTGATGGTAAGTGAAGCCATCCATTCATTCACTATCAAATCAAAGCTAATCATGCCGAAAACAAGGGTAGAGGGAGAAGTAGAAGCCATCATAGATACAGAGTGCACCCAATGCTTGATTATCCTCCCTCTCATCAAAAAGCTAGGGATCAGGACAAAGCCTCTAACCTATCTCATATGCTTCGAGCAAGTCAATGGGTGGATAATTGGGGGGGGGCGTGGAGAACCCCTGCCACATTAGTCACCGAGGACATAAGGTTAGAGATGGGCCACCACTGGGAACTGATCCGATTCCTTTGTGGTGCCAAAGGTAACAGAAGCTGTCTTCCTAGGCCTGGCAAGGCTAGACAAGTAGAGGCCCAATATCTCAAGGGAAGACGGCTACTGGAAGCTGAGACTGGAAGTAGGCCCCTTCCCCCTCCTGACCCCACAAAGGGAGGATGTAACCAGTGATTAAGTGCCACCAAACAAAGCAAGAAAACTGCCGCTGCCATCAAGCCACTGCCAGGGAGCTCCCAGATCTTTAGGGAGAACCAAGACTTGGCAGGAACTTTCAGTGGAGTGCAACTCCCTTCCTCCTCACTGCCCCTCAGATTGCGCCATAGTGTTTGTGCGAGGAGCCAAACTGCCCAAGCCAAAGATGTACTCCATGATCCCAAAAGAAATGACAGAATTGTGGGAGTACATTGACACCAACTTAGCTTGGGGATTCCTACCACTGGGCGAGATCATTCGGAGGCACGGGATAAGATACCACCAATATGCGGACGATACGCAGCTGTATCTGTCCGCCCC